GTGTGGTTGTCAACCTCCAGGTGGGGCCTGGAGCTCTCCTGAAATCACAACTCCTCTCTGCATGACAGAGATCAGTTCCCCTGGAGAAAACGGCTGCTTTGGAGGGAGGATTCTTGTTTTTGTTTTTTTCTAATTCACAATGTATTAATTTCTGTAATGAACAATAATACAGGTTATTGACCTTATTTTCCATCAGTCTATTATAGTATTCACCCCCCAAAATTATTAATAATAGAAAGTGTTCTCAAACTTATCCACTAACGTCTGCTATACCTAATTACTAACCAAGAATTGCTTCCTATTCTGAACCCTATTGTCTTACCAGACCCGTTAAATATAATTCCATTTAGTTTCCTGAGTTCTTTTCCCGTATTCACATTAGTTACAGTACATATATCCAGGGGTCATTTCCTGCAGGAGCGCACAGGAGTGGAGCTCCAACAGTAAAGAGCCCAGGGGGCGGGCACAGGCAACAAGCCCCACCCCCTGCTCCCAGCAGCCCCCAGTCAGAGCAAGAAGCAGCCAGGTAAGTTGCAGAGCCCCCCCCCCGGCCCCCCGGTCCAAAACAGTCCAGTGGCAACTTTAAGACCAAGTTTTATTCAGGTACAAGCTCTCCCTCCTCTGCGAGGACAGATCTGCACGTTTCCCTCCCCCCAATAGCTAGCAATCCAAAACAGTCCAGTGGAGCCTGAGCAGTGGGTGTTGCCTCCTGACACACTTCCGGTGATGTCAGGGGGTGTGGCATATGCAAATAAGTTGTGCTAATGAGTTATGCTAATGAGCTCCAGTACCTCTTTTTCTACAAAATGACCCCTGCATATATCGGCACAATAACATACACTGGACATTCTTCCGTTCACTGTTTACTATTATTACATACTTCCAAACTAATTTCTTCTTCAGAAAATCCAGCTTCACCTAAAAAAGGAAACCAAATGGGGCTGCCTCTCATTCCTCCTGTGAGAGGACTTACGGGGGGGGGGGCAAACCCCCTTGGAGGGAGGCTTCTATGGCACGATGCCCAGCTGAGGTCCCTCCCCTCCCCAAACTTTAACCGCAAAACTCCAGGAATTTCCCAACCCAGAGATGGCAACTGTAGATGGTGGGGAGATGGGGAAAGACACCTGGGACGTCTCCTGTGTGTCAGCTATGCTGCCATGGGGGTTGGGATGTCCTTTCAGTGTCTGTGTAAATTGCTTTCGCATTCCTCTCTCTGCTTTGCGCTGAAATGCTTATCTCTAAAGAAGTACAGGTGGTGGTGTGTGTTGTCTGCCTTCCAGGCCAGCCATGGGAGCCAAACAATTCCCATCTTCGCATAGTAATGTTTGCTGGCTTTAGCCCGCGTGCGGGAGGGTGCCTAATTGGCCAGCGGAGTGGGGTGTGTGTGCATACGAATGCCCTATATCTCATTAGGTTCGAAAGGCAACTGCTATTCTTAATAGTGACTATGTTAATACATCTATGGCTCTTCAATAATAGTATAACCTTTCTAAAGAAGTGTGTACTCTGCTGTTGGCTGTGGGTTCTGACACTGTGTCAGACAACTGCCGGATGATGGGGGAGGGGAGACAAAAGCAAAACCTCCCCCCTCCGCAACCGGAGATTACTCTTTGGAACTCACTGCCACAAGATACTGCAGCAAGCACAGGTACAAGAATTCGACGGCTACGTGGTGGGAAGGAGCGGTCTGGGCTGCCGCAGCTGGAGGTGCAGACTCAGGTATCAAGAGAGCCCACTGGCCGGGAAGGGACCCCGGCCTCACCCCTTTCCTTCTCCTTCTGTTCTGCCAGCGCAGAAGTGCTAAAAATTAATTAACCAGAAAAGCGCACTCAATTAGAGAGCAGGTCCCCCGGCGATCCCTCCCAACTCACCCTCCCCTCCCCCACGGCCCAAGGCCTCTCCGGCTTCCCTTTTGGCTTTCCTATCAGGGGGCTATTTCCTCAGCACGTACCCCCACACACACACGCACACCCTGCCGTGAGCCTGCATTTCTCGAGGGTGACCGGGCTAATGAGGGAGAGACTGGCGTGGCTCCCGGCTGCCAACTCTTTGGGTGGGGAAATTCCTGGGATTTTGGGGGGTGGAACCTGGAGAGGGCAGGGTTTGGGGGGGGGACGCCAGAGGGTCCCAGGTTCAATCCTCGGCATCTCCAGTTAAGGGAGCCGGCAGCAGACGATGTGGCGGTTCCGAACCATACCGGCCTCCATACCGGTCACAAGCTTCAGGCTTCAGGGCCTGGCCTGAAAGGATCTGTCCCCAGAGCGATCTTTTGCCCTCCCGCTTCAGAACCAGGCACACACCAGAGGCAGACGCAATCCTGCCCCAGAGAACGGTGGACAGGATGACTCCTGGAAAACACCCAGCCCCGTGCGATAGATATCTGCTTTCTCACAGCACTGGCACACAGAGAGGACTGGGAACTACGAAATCCAACAGAAACTCAGTCACCTTCAGCCTCTCTTGCAAGCTGGCCCGTAGCTAACGTGGGGCCCATGGGGCCTGGCCCCCTCTTGTTTTTTCTGGGGGCCCTCTTTCCCAGACTGACCCCAAAGTGCCCCAACCTGCCGCCTGCATTGTGCTTTGATTTAATTAGCTGGCCCCCCGAGGCCCCCTCCCAAAAAATCCCCTAGCTATGGGGCTGCTTGCAAGGGAGCTGAGGTGCTCCTTAGAGACACACATGAAACCGCTGCATACTGAGTCAGACTTTTCATCCATCAAGGTCAGTCTTGTCTATTCAGACGGGCAGCACCTCTCCAGGGTCTCGGGCAGAGGTCTTTCCCATCCCCTCCTGCCTGGTCCTTTTTAACTGGAGATGCCGGGGATTGAACCTGGGACCTCCTGCATGCCAAGCAGAGGCTCTACCACTGAGCCACAGCCCCTTTTTACAGCTCTCCAGGGTCTCAGGCAGAGAAAGGTCTCTCACATCACCTGCTCCTTGTTTTAACTGGAGATGCCAGAGGTTGGACCAGGGACCTTCTGCATGCCAAGCAGAGGCTCTGCCACTGAGCCAGGGGCCCTGCCTCCTGTTCCGAAGGAGAAGGAGAAGGAGAAGGAGAAGCCAAACAGATGCTCTGCCACTGAGCCACAGCCCCTCTTTAGAGCTCTCCAGGGTCTCAGGCACAGAGGGTTTTCCCATTACCTGCTTCCTGGTCCTTTTAACTGGAAGCCACAGCCCTTTCCTAAAGCACTGCCTCATACATGAGCATGCATGGAGTGGCCTTACACTGACTCAGACCCTGGGTCCATCAAGGTCAGCATAGCCTACTAGGACTCGCAGTATCTATCTAGCGACTCAGGCAGAGAGA